TTTAACAAATTATTCTAAAACTACGAGATTTTTTAAATGTGTTCTGCTTTTTTAATAAACCTTGACAAATTTTCTGACGAATTCAGTTCATTAAATTACAAACTAAATATTCCAAATAACTTCATCAGTATTGACGTTTATACATCACATACATAATGTTTAATAGACTTATGTCTACTGGACCAGGTCATCATTAATGAAGTTTATACATCACATATATAATATTTAATAGACTTATGTCTACTGGTCCATAGGTCATCATTAATGAAGGTTATACAGTATACACCACATACATAATGTTTAATAGACTTATATCTACTGGTCCATAGGTCATCATTTATGAAGTTTAAACACCTCATACATAATGTGCAATAGACTTATGTATACTGAGCCGGAATAAAAAAAATTTGAGACACGGCTTAAATTCATTAAATTCCTACACTGGTCCAGAGGTCGGATTAAATGAAGAGTGAAAGGTAATTGAACTAAGTATGGTGAGATAAAGTAGTTGTCCAGAGTCCGAATTTAAAGAATTTGAGCCACGGCTTAAATTTAAGCCTCGGCTCAAATATGGTTGGTTCCACTTAAAATTGTATTAAATTTTTCAAGATTTAAGCCGGCGCTCAATTGAACCCGGTTTTTGTTGGATTTGAGACGTGGCTTAAATTCATTAAATTCGGACACAGGACACTCTCTGCCAAACTAAAGAAGTAGTTCAGCTATCCCTATCTGGTTAAACTACTTGAAAAGCAATTCTACTTTTTCTGAAGGTTAGAGACATGTTAAAAGGTTTGGTTTCTGTCAGACCTAGCGGGATACAGACGGTTTACAGGCCTACTTTCAATCCAACAAGGGTAATAGGACGGCAGGTTAATTAAATGCAAACAGAAAGTAGATTGGAGTTAGACTCAACATATGAATATATCTATATATATATATATAACTAGCTGTGCCCGGTTCCCTTGAAATTTTAAAAACACTTTGAACTAGCTGTGCCCGATTGCCTTGAAGAAAAAAGTATAATTTTGATTTTAAAAAACGAATATTTTAGCCTATTTCCTAAAGAAATGTTAGTCAATATGGTCCAGCCGTTTTCTTAGCTATAGCTAAGACACATATGAGTTATATGTATTTTATGATCATAAGTCCCGAGAACCCCAGAGATAGATAAAAATACATAATTACAAAGATCATTATGTATTGAACCCAAGGAATATTAATAACATAACATAACTTAAACAATCTTTAAATTAATAATGCAGATTTTTTAAACGCCAGATATCTAAATGCATAAAACCTGATCAAAAAACTCCGACAAAACAGTGAGGTTCATAAAACTGTGGAATAGGAAGACGACATATACGCAACCTTATATGCTGTGCAATATAAGGGAAACAATTTATAACAGTAGTTTGAAATTAAACTTACTACGTGAATATAGGTCCTTGTACACTGCAGTTTCATGTTAAACTTTTAATTACTGAAAGAAAAGTCTCGAATGCTGTAGAAAACTTGTTATTGCTGTAGAAAACTTGTTGTAGAAAACTTCTTAATTGGGTTCCCGCTATAGCTAGGTTCCTTTCCTGGCTCCCCCCGCAGCAGGGTATTTATTCTGTCTCCCACTGTACTTATAGGCATTTATCCTGGCTCCACCTGTATCTAAGTGTTTATCTTGGTTCCCCTTATATCTAGGCATTTATCCATGCTGCCTCTTGTATCTATGTTTTTATCCTGTCTCCCCCTGTGTCTAGGCATTTATTCTGGCTCCCCCTGTGTCTAGGCATTTATCCTGGCTCCCCCCCTGTATCTAGGCATTTATTCTGGCTCCCCCTGTGTCTAGGCATTTATCCTGGCTCCCCCCTGTATCTAGGCATTTATTCTGGCTCCCCCTGTGTCTAGGCATTTAATCTGGCTCCCCCTGTACCTAGGCATTTATCTTGGCTCCCCCTGTAACTAGACATTTAATCGGGCTCCCCCTGTACCTAGGTATTTATCCTAGCTCCCCCTGTACCTAGGCATTTAACCTGGCTCCCCTGTACCTAGGCATTCAATCTGGCTCCCCTGTACCTAGGCATTTATCCTGGTTCCCCCTGTAACTCTAGCTGAATGGGTGCAACGAAGTTTTAGAGGATGAATAAAGAGGATCATTAGAGAGAACAAATTCAAACATTTTTTCTTGATTATTTTCAGGTTTCTTAACACTAAATATAGTTAGCTGACAGGTTTACTTAGGATAATCACTTCTTAGTTCAGTTCCTGGTTTCAGGCCCAGGGGGTTTAGGATAACATGGAGCTAGAGGGCTTCAGGAGAACATGGAGCTAGGGTGTACAAATTGACCAAGAGGCTATGAGGGCCAAGGGACTAAGTGAACCAAAACAAGGGCAAAATTGGGGGGGGGGGAGAATTTAATACGTTCATTGATTTCCCAGAGATTTAGAATTCCCGTAAGCATACAACCAGAAAAAAAAAATTCAAAAAAAGTCTACCCCCCCCCCCTTTTCATATCTCTCAAGGTAACGCCACTGCAAAGAGCGCGTTCAGACTTTTCTACATCTGGAGAGATGTAGAACTCATTAGATTGCATTCATCTGAACCTTGATTGTGAGGTTCTCTCTAGGGTCCCGGAGCTTGCAATAATGAATTACATGCTGAAAGATACTAATTTCTTTATTAACCAACCTAACCCAGAAGTCTACCGGGGTAATAAAAAAACTTCAAAATAAAAACTTTAGGAGACCAAAAAGGTTAAAGTGAAATGCTTTTTTGCTGTTGAAAACTTGCGATAGTTTTAGGTATAAGTTTTATATATCCCGGCCCATATTTAACTTTATAGGTCATAGCGAATATTAAGAAGGGGGCGGAGAATAACTCTTTTTTCTTCCATCGACCGCTTATAGTGTGAACCAATGCGCCAGCCTTCATAACCCAGACAATATATAATATCTGATCAAGATATAAGCAACACTTAGATTGTATCAAAATGGTCCATTTCATAGCCCACGCTAATTCTGATAAGCCATGAAATTAACATTTTTCATCACATTTCAAGGCGGGGTGAGTTTATTATAACTTGGAATAATGCTATAGATGCCTCGTTAACAAATACTGTATAGTGTGGGGGGGAGTGAAGAAAAAGGAGAAAAATAGGGGGAACGCACTTACGAAATGTAGGTATGAATTACAGCAATCCTAAACACAGAATTACAAAAGTTAGAATAACTGGCTTATTTCTGTTCTTAATCATTTAGTAAGCCATCATTACACTCAATTGAATGCAGAAACCCAAGATGAAGCTTCAAATCGACATATTTTTAGAGTTTTGGGTCGTCTTTACAGTTTCATCCTTTGTGGGTAACCCTGTAGCTAACCTTCCATATCAATCGCCGTCACAGAGAAGTTATAAATAGAGAGGAATTAATTCAATAAAATGTGTAAAACGGCCATTTTGCGGAACTGTCTCTGCCACTGAAAACTATGTAGACAGAGGGAGAAAGTAAACTCTGTGGTTCATCTTGATTTTGATTTTATACACAAGTATGAAAAAACCAAATGTATCTGTTTATATATTAGAAATTTAGAACATTTTTTATTCTTCTCAATAACTCTTCGATTTGAAAACATAAATGCGTACTTCACACAATTTGAGAATATTTGCATCAACAGTTAATACTTTCAACTCCCTTTTATGATTTTTCGCATCAGAGAATATTTGAGAATATTTGCATCAACAGTTAATACTTTCAACTCCCTTTTATGATTTTTCGCATCAGCTCTAAGTCCTTTTGTAGCGTAAAAAATCACTGTACACCAGACGCTTCAAGGGAAGTTCACGTGGAATGCAGAAGGCCTGACCAAAACTGGATCATATAAAAATTGTATTTTAAAAAGTGAAAATTAGAAAAGATTCATTAGAAGTTTTCTGTTTTTTTAATGCTGTTGTCAATTGTGTTTTTTTTTGGGGGGGGGGGCTAATAAAATCCAAGCATTAAAGTGTACTATATATATATACTGTTTACTAAGTAGAACTAAAATTCATAATTCCTCATTGTATTCTCTTCTGTGAGAAATTTTCAGTTTAACGCACAATTGTTTAAAGGTACAAAGGGACTGAGTTTTTGCCACAAACTTAAATTTTCTAGTCCTGGCAATTTGATGTTGTACACGTTAATATTTCAAGCTTAACAATTTTTGATCTAAAGGATTTAAAAGTTTGAAAGAACATGTACGATATTGGGTTGCAAAGATTTAGGAATTACAAAATCGATTCCTTTCCGGTGTGAGCCGCCAATGTTTGTTACATTTATATAACCTGCCAAGAATATGAACAACAAAAAACTAAGATCTAAATGTCCCCTTATCGTCCCTCCCTTAACCCCATGTCTATCCCACACAACTTTTATTTATATCCCCTGGTATCCCTATTGAGACGTGTAGCCCCAAATAAAGAGAATAATTATCTATTATATATTCAAGCCCAACATATTTTCAAACTGAATGCGTACATGGATAGTCATGGCTTGAAACTTGATGGGGTATATATACAAACAGTGTTATTTGTAGAACTTATAAAATTTTGTTTGGACTTTTTCATTTACGAGCGATATTTTATTTTTGGTATAGAATGCACCGCGTAAAAGAGGTTGCGTGATTTTATAACATTGTAAATGAGCCAGTCATCATTCTTGTTATAAATTAAAGTGATTAATAAACTCTCAACAAGGTAATATCTAACAGTTTTGTATCTTAATGAAAATCTAAGTATGACCAGAATTTTGGGCATAGTCGGCATGCAAAGTCAAAATAAAAATTCTCCCCGTACATTAAAACTTTATTATTAGGTTTTAAAAAAAAGTCGAGCTGAAATTCTTTTCTTATCAAATAAATATCAGAACTGAAATTATAATTTCAGTATGAAACACAGAATATTTCTTAATTCGTATTATTAAAGAATATTTAAATTGAAAAATTATAAATCTAAATAATCCACGGTTCAAATTGAAAAAAATCCGCCAAATCACATTTTCTCTCTTATAGCAACAAAATGCATAAGATTTTCGAAATTGTCTTCATTAAACACTTTACGGAAGTTGGAGATAATCATACGAATGAGGAGTCTGAACCACCAAATGCCGAAATTCTTGTCAACACACACATATCATTTAGCGAAACAGATGTCAAGGTAAAAAGCTTTAAATCAATTGTAAAGGTGATGTTGAAAGTTAGCTTGTTCATTATTACTGTAAAAGGGATTGAAACACATTGAAATACAAAATTTATTTGTTATCGTGATTATTTGCAGTTTGCATTTTTCTTTATTAGTTGTAACATGGAAAATTAGTTATTTCAATATACAGTACTGGGTAATATTGGATTAAACTTTAACACTCTTTAAATGTGACGATCTGAAGGATGAATTTGATTTTAGCCAACATTACAGTGTTTGACTTCAGATAAAGAAAGCTAAAAAATTTAAACATGTACTAGACCCATAAAACTGTGGAATAGAAAGACTACTGTTAGACTCAAGTTATAATTTGCTTTAAAATGCATATTATTTCAAAATCTCTTTTGGGTCTCATTGTATACTGTCTGTAATTATGTTTACTCAATGATGTTTATCGTATGTGTACAGCCATATCCAGTTTAACTTGAAGTTCATGTTTTAATCCTCTATGATAAACAAATAGCTGAGTGTAGGTATAAGATGGATATATCTTATATTCTGTAAGAGCTTTAATACGAGGCCTTTAAAGATACAGAGTGTTCCGCTAAACATGATAAATTGTAAACAGTTTTAAATTGACCGCTATAAATAACGTTGCATGTCTTAATCACAACGGCACCCCCTCGTCTGAGCAAAATCTATGATCTATGAAGATATCCTTATTATTATTTCTAAAAGTTTATAATTTTGAATTGTGGTTTCTCAATGATGGCGACTTTCAGATTCATGCAGCAGAATAAATAAGTAAATAGACAGAATTCAACTCTTTTTAGAATAGAAAACCGGCGATTTCTTCCTTTTTTTGCTTAGATAAAGGTAACCGATGTGAATCGGCATGGAACTTATAAACTGGAGGTCCCTTGGTACTTTGTAATTGTTATCTATACATATTTTAGATATGCTTGGGAACTGTCTTTATACTCATCATCGTAGTTTTCACAATTATGCTCCAGGAGTTTAAAAAGCTCAGGTGAGATTAAGTTTATTAATCGAAGAAAATAATTTCTAAAATGTTAAACCTTCTTTTTTCAAGGTCTGTGGTGAAGTTTGTTCCACAATCCGGAATTCTCCTGTTTGTTGGGATGATTATGGGGGTTGTGACACATTTTGTGATCCAGGCAATGGAAAACAGTACTGCGTACAGACCTATTGAGATTCCTCATCACTATATACAAAATTTGGTCATCTCACCCATCATACTTCACGCTTCATTTGAGATTTATCATCCTGAGTTCTTCAAACAAATAGAGAGTGTGATGGTGATGGCAATCATTGGAACTGTTTTTAATGCACTTCTAATCGGGTTCTCAGTCAAGTAAGTGATAATTTTAAAATCATCAAGTTTATGGTTTAGTTGATTAAATTCTTTCTTGTGTTTAGATTTCTGTATGCAATTCATTTCTATGAGGAGATGACAATGATTCATTGTCTGGTGTTCAGTATTATCCTCTCAGCTGTAGATCCTGTAGCTGTATTAGCCGTATTTGAAGCTGTCCATGCTGACAAAGATCTGCATTATCTCATATTTGGAGAAGCTCTGTGGAACGACGGAGTCACATTTGTGCTTTTTGAAGGACTCAGAGAAATGGCGAAAGTTAGAACGGATACAACAATTCACCCTGAATCATACCTTTTCGTTATCTTGTGTATGTTTGTTGCTTTCCTAGGTGGGGCCTTGATAGGTTTTCTGTGCGGAGCAATTTCCGCCCTAATCACTAGATTTACAACTAAAAACTCACAATGCTTTGAACCAGTTGTGATCTTGATGATGGCTATACTAGCTTACTTCTTAGCCATGTCTATCGGATTTTCTCCAATAATAAGTTTGATAGTCTGTGGAATGAGTCAGATGAGATATGCTGTTCCAAACATATCTCCCGGCAGTAAACTTACAATAATGGGAATAGTTAAAGCTATATCAACCCTCTGTGAGATACTTATATTTGTTCTTCTTGGTACAGAAGCTGTGGATATCCATATTGACTGGATTTTCGCTGTCATGACTCTTCTCATCATTTCTGTTTGGAGATTTGTGATTACGTTCTCTCTTGTTTACTGCATCAATATATTCAGATACAACCCTATCAGCTATAAATGGCAGTTAATCATTTTTCTTGGTGGTCTCAGAGGAGCTTTTGCTTACGTCATGGCTCTGGATTATGATGGTCCTTTTAAACTAATGTTTCATGATACTACTCTAATAATCATCATTGTAACTAATATTATCAATGGAATAATAACCAAGCCCCTGGTTATGTGTATGAAACTCCAGCAACGAGAACCAGCTAAGGAGATCACATTCAACAATGTTTCATCTTATATTGCACATCTGACTAGATCTGGACTTGGTAACCTAACTAAAGGAGATTCACAGGACACCTGTTCTATGAAGTGTTTGAAGTTTGAAAAGGAATATATTTTCCGATTTCTTTGCAGCAATCAATCTGGACAAAGTCAACTGGTTCGAGACTTTGATTCTTACGAGGAACAGCAAGCTCTTTATCTGATTGAAACCCATGGTCTGGTTGGTCTACTCAATATACAACATGATAAACAAACTAGTGATGCTGAGAGTGAGAAGAAAGAGAATTTAGAAGATGTTAAAATCGATTAGTGATTTAGCGTTTTCTTTATTCTTTAGAATATTGTAACATTTTATCATCTTGTTTTGTAAATAAAATACAGTGTAAATATAAAAGATTTAATTCACGATTGCAGAAATAAAATACCCCCTTTTTTCATTACCATATGTTAGTTGAAATTAACGCGTTGAGTGATGAATGTCAGAAATTCTGTCAGAGTTAAAGAGATTGCAATCTCTAGCAGTAAATATCTTGAGATTTTGAGAGCAAAGATAGTTTCATTTCAAACTTGACGGTTCCTCCTTATACAACCTGTAAACAATATCAATTCTCAGAGAACAAGAATATACATAACGCATAAACACATAAAGCATAGAATGCAACAAGTATATTACCAACTAGCTTGAGAACCCAGCATGGCCAGGGTACTCATAGTTAATCCCGCGCTTGGTCGTAAATTACGATTTTTGCCTTTTTTTCAACTTAACTTAGACTTTCAAACCAAACTCAGAACATTCCCGTGGTTCTCCCGAGTTTCCCAATTACAAGTTTGAGGCAAATCGGTCCTGAGTTCCTGAGTTATGATCGGACAAAGAAACAGACAAACAGAGATTACAACTTTATATATATAGATTTATGTTCATATTAAATAATTGTATTTCCTTAGAACCTTGCTTCTCTAATCCTAAAACTAAGCTATTACAGATATATCTCAAGTTTATAAAACAATATATTTTATATGCTTGACCGTAAAGGTGTATAAATTACAAGCCGTATATAGTCAGTGTATGGGTCGAGATATAAAGAGAATAAACGATGAAAATTGGGTTTGACTCCGTCCTTAACTTGATTATACCGAACCACATAATTATGTTGTATCCGGCCCAAATTGGTCATTACATCTCCGAACCTACACTATACGATCCTATAATTACTTAACTAGGATAAAAGACGTGACAACTGGGATAAAAATAAAGAGAATCGTGCAGTTGGTTGAATCTAAACTATCCCATACCCTCGAATTAGGAATTCTAACTTTAAAAAATCAGCATTTAATCCTCTCGTTATAGGTTTAAAGGAATTGCAATGCTCCGCGAAAACAAGCGTAATTATAGATTTTAGTAAGGCTGGTCAAATGCAGGTATGGAGTAGTCCTCCTAACAAACTTTACATCAGGAAAATTTAAAAAGTACAAAGGACTGTGTAAACCCAAAATATATGAAGATTACAGTGGGAACCAGAAAACTCTGGAACAGGAAGACGACTTTTAGACTTTTTTATGGTCCATTGAACATAAGACTCAGCAATTGTGCAATATAAACCAACCCATTTAACTTAATACAAGATTTAATAAGTTACTTGTAAACTATTTGCTTTGTAACAACATCAAAAAAACTTTAGTATCGCTATAATGTCGTCTTTATAATCCACAGTTTTCTGTTTCTAACTGTATCTTACATGTTCAAAGGACTGTAGAAACAGGAACCTTCGGACTGATTTGCCTCAAATTTTGGGAAACTTTGGAGGTCCACGGGAATGTTCTCAGCTTGGTTTTAAGATTATAAGTTGAGTGAGTCGACTTTAATAGGGAGTATTTAGTTTCCCGGTAAAAACGTTCGAGTGCGGGTAAACGGTGGTAGTAACTTTTAGTAACAGCTTGGCAGCGCTGGGATCTCAAGCTAGTTAGTTCTAATAATAATTCACAGTTTGAAATATCAAATGTTTACACTAACAGGTTGCAAAGACATAAGGATTAGAAAAATTGAGTTGGTGGCAAATTCTTTTCAAAGAATATTGTTAAAGATTTTTTTTGACAACTTTTAGATTGGTAGAATTATCTTCCCGGTTTTAAAATTTGAATGATTTCATACTTATCTAGAAAAAAATCAACTTTTTAAAATAATCAACAATCTCTCATTTTCCCCGATCTATCTATCTATCTATGTATCTATCTCTCTATCTATCTATCTATCTATATATATATATATATCTAACTATCTATTTATCGGAGATATTTTTAATTTTGTCCTAATTTTAGTTCAAACAGAATTTAAAGAAAATGCAGAATTTGAAAATATATTTGAATAAATAATTTTAAAAACTTATTTTGTCATTAGATTTCCGCTTTTCTCCTCCGGGTTGAATTTAAGCGCCGTATCTGAGTATATAACTGTACCCATATCATTACAACAGGTTCGGAGTTTATCCTCTGCTCTTGTTAATGAATCCAGGGGCGGAGAAACTATCTCATACAACCCGTCTATACTCTCAACCAAACTCTGAACCGCCTCCTGTCTCTGCCCATGGTCTATGAAGTCTGAGCCGCATTTATACAACGAGACAAGGAAATCTAGTTTTCCCTCGTCCTTCTTATTTCTCCAGGTTGGGTCGGAGCTGTGTCCCAGCAGGGGCCAGTCCTCGGAGCAGGGTTTACACTTGCACTGGAACCAGTATCTTGAAGATAGTTCCTTCTGCCTATCTTCCTTGGACTTGAAATAGTAAACAGGTCCATAGTTGTCACAAACCTCTTCTCCTTTCTCTACTCGAACCAATGATTTTACAATAAGCTTGTTTCCAACGTTTATCCTGAAAAGGTGAAAATAAAACATCTATTTAAAACGATTAACTTCTATTCCAAGGGACTGTTCGCGTAATTTCTAGCGACCCTCAAGGAAAAGTTGGCAATGCCCTATTCACAAGGAACCCTTTAAAGCTTTGTCTGATCAACTATGAATCAGATATCAATGTTTATAATTTTGAAAACTGATTTTTTTAATGTAGTTTCTCTACAACAGGAAAACATGGAGGAAAATTATCAGAAATAAACACTTTTAAATCTTAAAAAAACGAAAATATCTTCTAAACTATTAATCAGATAAAAGTTTCAAGGGTACCGTTGTGAATCAGGCAAATTGTACCTTTACAGAATGCCAAACCCAATCAAACGTTACATTTCAAAACTATAGTTTTGCAAAATTTCAATTTTTTTATAAAGATTTTTTAAACGAATCGAGTTTCAGTCAAACAAAGTTTTGGTAGCTTCAGGAAAATTTAATTAATAATTTTAAAAGTTTATTTTGAACAATTATCATATAGTGAAATAACATTTTTATTAAATCTATAAAAAAAAATGAAAAAAAGAACTGATTACTCGTCTAAAACTCAAATTTTACAATCCTTTTCCTGACTCTGCGACTTTTGATCTTTCAAACTAAGAAATCTTCTAAATCTGCTAGATAAAATATTAGAAGTTTGAAATAAAATATAAAAGGTTTCGCCATCGCGTTACAAAGATTTAAGTGATAAAAAAAATTATGTTTGAGATTTTCTTTCATACACATACATTTTCTTCCTTTCAGTGTTCCCATTTTTCAATTCGCTACCTAATAAGTTTAAAATACAAATATCATATTCCTTCAGAAATATTTAATGCAAAGTGGTTTTTGTATCTTACCTGGCTATGTGAGGATGGCAGGAATGATTAAAATATGACGCTTTAGGATAAACTGCTAGTCCGATCTTAATGTTTTTACAGGGTTTCATCTGCTCCCTACTCCCCCTTAGCAGTTGATAAACCTCATGAGCGTTAAATTGAAGAATATTCAGATGTCGGAGCAGAAGAGAACCAATAAAAACCTCGTCGTCCGTGAATATGTCGGGTTCACTTTTCTCCGGAAAATATTTCGCGGATTTTAGAATTTTGAGTAATCCGACCGCCATTAGGGTTCGAGAAAACATATCTTCAGTCCAGCGTTCCTCATCTAAACCAACAAGATTAAAGACGTAGAGGTAGGGGAGTTTAAACTCACGAGATTCAACATCAACGTTTAAATGGTGTCTTATCTTCTTGAAGTAGTCTAGAGGGTGGGAGGTTATAATTCTCAGTGCTAGTCTTACAAGCGCTGATCCTCCTAATCCTATTACTAGATCCTGATATTTACATTCATACTTGTGGTAGGATGAGCAGGCCTTATCCCTACAGTCCTTACTACAGAACCCGACTCCAGAACAATCCGGACATGGAACTACTGCCCGTAGTTTTTCAAAGCAAAAGTCACAATTGGTTCCAAGTTTCTCCGGGTACAGGACTGAAGCGAAAGGTTCCTCGACCACTAACGTGTCTCCGGGTCTGACAAGTTTGTCAGCTTTCACGTGTCTTCCAACTTCAGGGTTGTAATCAACCTTGAGAAGAGAACTGAACTCCTTGAGTTTCTTGTCAGGTTTAGCAGAAACCTTGTGATTTTCAGGTTCGACATTTTTAACCACGGTGATATTATCAAACTTCACCCCGCTCGGATCAGCAAAAGAGTTTCCAAGTTTTAAAATATTTTTCATCGAGGACTGATATTTTTCCTTGTCCATCTTTCCTTTGTTTTTCTCAAGCATTTTTTTGGCAACGCGTAGGCTCTGAACAGCATTTTCCTTATCCTTCAGTAGAATATAGCACTTTGCAAGTCTCTCATGGAGCTTGTATTGAAGTTGAACAGGGTACCCGGAGACAAGAGCAAGGTTTGCATCCGAAATACACTGATTTATCTCCCCTAAATAGTAAAGACAAGCCGATCTGTTCGCCAGTGAATATGCTAGACTATCATCTCCTTGTGGAGCTTTTACCACACTCATACTATACATCATGTGGGCCTGCTTGTACCACTTCTTGTGGTAAGCTGTGTTTCCTTCATCACGCTTTATCTTTGCAGCCTCTTTGTCTTTCACCTTGTAGATTGGTTGAACTATAAATCTGTCAACCTTATTCAAGGACGAGATAAACAGAACTCTCTCCTCCTCGGAGGAGAACTGACGAAGATTTTCAACGGCTCCAGGGTTTGATTTCACCACCTCAGTTAACCAGGCGGAGAATAATCCTCGTTCATCGCTCTGGATGGTTTCCCAACTACATCTCTGCTTAAACCCGTCCACGGAGCTACACTTCAACATATTCAAACTCAACTCCTAAAAAATGTTATTTCTTTTCGGTTTTGTCAGCAACTTTTTCTAGCTATTTATTTGATTCCAGCTCAGTTTCATTTACAAAAAGGATAAAATATACCAGGCAGAACCTTTAGGAACCTTTGCTCTTAAAGGCCGGACTGTAGACGTAATTTCAAAAGACAGCTTGTAGGTAGAATGGACAACTTGTAGGTAGAATGGACAACTTGTAGGTAGAATGGACAACTTGTAGGTATAATGGACAACTTGTAGGTAGAATGGACAACTTAAGGTAGAATGGACAACTTGTAGGTAGAATGGACAACTTAAGGTAGAATGGACAACTTGTAGGTAGAATGGACAACTTGTAGGTAGAATGTACAACTTGTAGGTAGAATGGACAACTTGTAGCTAGAATGGACAACTTAAGGTAAAATGGATAACTTGTGGGTAGAATGGACAACTTGTAGGTAGAATGGACAGCTTGTAGGTAGAATGGACAACTTGTAGCTAGAATGGACAACTTGTGGGTAGAATGGACAACTTGTGGGTAGAATGGACAACTTGTAGGTAGAATGAACCGCTTGTAGGTAGAATGGACAACTTGTAGGAAGAATGGACAACTTGTAGGTAGAATGGACAGCTTGTAGGTAGAATGGACAACTTGTAGTTAGAATGGACAACTTGTAGCTAGAATGGACAACTTGTAGGTAGAATGGACAACTTGTAGGTAGAATGGACAGCTTGTAGGTAGAATGGACAGCTTGTAGGTAGAATGGACAACATGTAGGTAGAATGGACCGCTTGTAGGTAGAATTGACAACTTTTAGGTAGAATGGACAACTTGTAGGTAGAATGGACAACTTTAGGTAAAATGGACAACTTGTAGGTAAAATGGACAGCTTGTAGGTAGAATTGACAACTTTTAGGTAGAATGGACAACTTGAAGGTAGGATGGACAACTGTAGATAAAAAGGACAACTTGTAGGTAGAATGGAAAACTTTAAGGTAGAATGGACAACTTGTAGGTAGAATGGACAACTTGTAGGTAGAATGGACAACTTGAAGGTAGAATGGACAACTTGTAGGTAGAATGGACAACGTGTAGATATAACAGACAACTTGTAGGTAGAATGGACAACTTGTAGGTAGAATGGACAACTTGTAAGTAGAATGGACAGCTTGTAGGTAGAATGGACAACTTGTAGTTAGAATGGACAACTTGTAGGTAGAATGGACAGTTTGTAGGTAGAATGGTAGAATGGACAACGTGTAAGTAGAATGTAGACTGGCATGTCAAATTCAAAACGGTACCCTTGAAAGCTTTGTTTAATAAAGTGTGCATGAGATATCCATTATCTTCTCTTTAAAAAATGATAATTTTGAACTGGTGTTTCTTTTAAAAGTGATTTGCACAATTTTGTTTTAGAAACAATTGCGGAAAATGTCAAATTTGAACACTTTTTAAAGTTAGAAAACGACGATATCTTCAACATTATTGATTTATAAAATTTTTATTTGGTACCATTGTGAATCGTGAATGCCACTCTGTAAATGCAAGTGCAGTCCCTTTATTAACCGCTCTCGAGTTTGGTTATCCTTAATCACATCAAGGATTTGTTAATCAAATCTTTGAAATATAAAATTTTATAATTCTGGTTTAAAATATTTATAGCTTTATGAATTATTTAATACATAGGAACAACTTTTACTGAATAATTTATCATTCCAATTTTGTAAAATTCTGTTTAACTGACGGGTTTCTTACAACCTGCGCGATTTGACCGGGTTTGTGTGTGGACAAAAAATAAAAAAATAAATAAATAAATCATGTTCAGTATTGCTATAAAGTCGTCTTCCTTTTTCAGAGATTTCTGGTTATCACTGTACTTTGTAGAACTGTGATGAATGTACAGGTTGTCCCAAAAAACATGGGAATTCAGTGATGACTTTTATATCGTCTTCGATCCATGTGGCATTTTTTCATGAACACAATTATTGCAGTATTCCAGCTTAAACATCTAATATCGGAAACGCCTGGTCTTGAGATTTTCAAAATGTGGTCTACCATTTTGTATCTTCAAAATTGACAGAGATTTCAATTTATTTACTACATCAAAATTGTCTGAATATCTAATATCTCTTCGTCAATTTTTAAGACACAAGAAAGGTCTATATACTATACAGACCATTTTATGAAAAGCTCGTCAGACGTACAGCCTCTTTTTTTTACTTTCTTTGCCATGCATTAAATATCAGAAATCAAAGACGACTTTCAAGTCGTCTCTCAATTCCCATGTTTACTGGGACACCCTGTCATGTGTCCTTATCTTTTTTTTATAACATTTCTTGATTAAAAGATAAATAAGACTGTGAGAACTCCACTGTTTTATAATGTAAATAAATATTACTATTTGCTTGATTCGACTCCTGAAATCCACTAAAAGTTTTAAAGAGAAAAATTTACATTCTTTATAAAATATTCATAAAAAATATGTTCTGTTATGGCCTACCTTTAGGTAAAGATCACTATGATTAATACTCAAAGAATAGATTTATTTGAGAAAGTAGCGAACAAGTATATGTTCAACTGAAGGAGAAGAGTAAATGCATGTGTGGAACTTTTTGGAAATTTGCCAAAATTTCACAAATAGGACAAAACTACCGGCTACCAGCTGCTTTCATCCTGAATATTTTCGCAGTTTTTAAAACAGGTTCAACTTTCATTTTATTCTTTATTGAATTATGATAAGCAATGCATGAGCCAGAATGCAATGTTTTTTTGTTTTTCTGCTTTTATTTTGAAAGTTGAATGTAAAATTCAGATCTCTGTCAAATTTTTGATTAATTATTATTACGCCCCCCCCCCCCATATATACAAAACTACCAGTTAAGATAAGATATGGTTTGGATAAATTCATTTTTAGAATATTTTGGACCTTGTTCTCGATCCTGGTTTTGAATGTCGTCTTCTGAATTACCAATTTATACAGCTAAATGGTTTAAAATAAAAACATTAAGAATCTGTATTTTAGTTTCTCTACATACAGGGTGTCCCACATCAAATTAGACCGCGTCAATGGGTCTAAATTACGATTTGGGGGACAAATCAGAAAATTTAAGAAGAATGAATCATTTAAAAAAATTTAATAAGGCTAATAGAAAATTTTGTTAGCAGAAAATGCTAGATTTTTCGCGCATTATGTGCGTATTTTGGCGTTAACAATTGTTGATAATCTAATATGATATGGGACGCTCTGTAGTTGTTCATTTCTTTAAAAAATGTAAAATATAAAAACTTCTTTGTTAGAATTATAATAATCATAATAATCATAATAACCATGAAGAAATAAAAATAATTTGGCTTATATACAGGCACGGGCAGCCGTATAGTACATATGAATTTCCGAGCCGGGTCAACCTTTCCGTTCCCAGTTTGTACTGTATCGCCCGGAAATTGGGTAAATAAAGCAGACATTCAATAGGATACAAATTTACAAATTCTCAAAGGTCTAGAATTGAATATTAGAACGCAGGGATGGATTATAGTATATTCAGACAAAAACTAAAAGATAAATGATTTTAAGAAAATAAATAAAGTTTTTAAACTCATGAGGAAAAATTCGCAAAAAAAGATTATAACCTTCTGAAGGGGAGAGGGGGCGTGAGGGGGGAATATGATAAGTATAAGCCTGAATCAGGACGGGTTGGGTCGAGCTAGGCCGGTTAGAGTGCAAAACTCCGGTCGGTATGCTGGATATCTCCAGTGTATCTATGTATATCAATCTACTGGGAAAGCTGAGAGCACTAAGGTGAACTTAATTCTAAATATATATATCGGAGAGAAGTATTTACTCATTAGTGGAAATAATTAATCAATTAATTTTCTAATTATAAGATATAATTTATAAAAGGTGCGAGTAATTTTTAATATCATTCATATAAATGTTGATTACATTTACAGTGTACAGTGAACATACAGTAATATAAGAAAAATTGTTTAGGTTGTAGCATGATGGTAGAGCAAAAAGAAGAAACCCCGGTCGAAAGCCCTAAGATGGAGAATGGAAAATTGGAAAATGGATCAAATGGTTCTTCCGAAACAGAAGTTCCTGATGGTAAACCTTCTGATGAAAATGGAATTGTGAAAAGTGAAAGTTTTGATAACAAGCTAAAGAGATCTGAACCCCTTGATGTTTGTGAAATGATTCCAGTTGCTGCTAAACACAAGATGGCCACTGCTGGAGAGTTTCCTGATATTCAAAACGGTGAATCTAAGTCAGAGATTAATGCACATGAGAAAGTTACAGATCTAACAGAACACTCAACAGGTGTTTCTGGTGCTGAAGAATCTACAGAATCTTCAGTAGCTGTCTCAGAATCTACAGTAACGTCAATAACTGTTGCTGATGTTACAGAACCTTTGATAGTTGGAGCAGAATCTACAGAATCTACAGAACCTTTGGTAGTTGTAGCAGAATCTACAGAACATACAGTAGTCGGTGTAGAATCTACAGAACCTACAATAGTTGGTGTAGAATCTACAGAACCTACAGTAGTCGGTGTAGAATCTACAGAACATTCAGCAGTCATTGTAGAATCTACAGAACCATCAGTAGTCAGTGTAGAATCTACAAAACCTTTAACTGTTGCTGAGGATTCCACAAAAACTTCATTGACTGTGGCAGAATCTACAAATTCTTCTGCAGTTGAAGCAGATTCTACAAAACCTTTAGCAGTTGTTGATACAAATACTACAGAAACATCTTCAATAGTTGAGTCAGAATCCATGGAAAATTCATCAAAATCTCCAGAAACTTCTGCAGTTGGAACAGAAATAACAGAATCTTTTTCAGTTGGGACAGAAATAACAGAACCTTCTGCAGTTGGGACAGAAATAACAGAACCTTCTGCAGTTGGGACAGAAATAACAGAACCTTCTCCAGTTGGGACAGAAATAACAGAACCTTCTCCAGTTGGGACAGAAATAACAGAACCTTCAGAAGTTGGGACAGAATCTACAGAATCTTTTGCAGTTGGGACAGAATTAACAGAACCTTCTTTAGTTGGGACAGAAATAACAGAACCTACTGTAGTTGGGAAATCTACAGAACCTTCAGTTAATGGGACAGAATCTACAGAACCTTCTGTAGTCAGAGAAGAATCTACAAACCCACTATTGGATGCTGAAGACAAAAACACTTCCCCTATTACCATAATGGAATCGTCCAATATCCCTGCATTTGTTCCAGACTCTACAGAATCATCAGCATCAAAATCCTTGGAAAACTCTGCTTTGGTTTCTTCAGAACACTCTAGAAAATCAAAGGAGTCTTCAATTGTTACTGATAAATCTTCTGAACCTGTTTCTGATGTTACAAATACTACAGAATCAGCCAGGACTGTTCAAGAAACTGTAACAGGACATTCTGCAACTTTTACAGAATTACTAGTAACTTCTTCAGAATCTACCAAAACTTCTACGGACACTTCATCAACAATCTCATCAACTGAAACTTCTGCAGTTGTGAAAGAATCTTCAGAACCTTCCATACTAGTTATCAAGTCAACGGAAACTTCTAATGATGTTTCAAAATCTGCTAAAGTTTCTTATGACACTTTAACAACAGAAGTCACAAAAGTTACAGCTGTTTCCGAAACTGTAGAAGCAGACTCTAAAGTTTCTAAGTTATTTCCTGAAGAGATTACTAAACCCCCGGTCACAGTTCCTAGACGTGTTAAAACCATGTCAGGATCTAATGATACAGATCCTAGGATCAGGGATTCCTATCAGGAAACAAAAAAGGAGATTGAAGATTCTTTAACATTTATCAAATCTAAACTAACCCAATCTCCTCCGGTTCCTCCCAACAAGACGAAAAGAACGTCAAATGCCCCTAAAACTGAAGATATAAAACTAGAACCTGGAAAAGTGAAGAATCCTGAGAATTCTGATTATGAACCCATCAACACAACGCATCCTGATCCAGTATACGAAACTATCCCAGTAGATGACACTACCCTGGAGAAATACAATCCTAAAGCTATGACTGAAGAAAATGGAAAACCTAAAGAGTATTCTCGCGAATGTATTCCTCCTATGCGACCAACAAGAACCAGAAAACCAGAAAGTTTAAGAGTTCCAGATTGGAGTGCTCCTAAACAGAATTTGATTTCTTATCTATTCAGTTGTTTTGTCCCCAAGAAAGTTTAAATGCCGGATTATATATTTTCTCTAAGCTACATAACATGACAGTAAAATATTCGTATAAATATTAACATATTCTCAATAAACAATTATAAAGATGTTTTGTCTAAATATGGATTTTTATCTTCATCATCGAAAAAACCCGGGACGTATTCAATTAAGTCTTCGGGGTCGGAGAAGAGAGAGAGTAAACTCTTGTCGGGTTTGAAGATCGGAGCTGCAGCTGCGACAGTATCCATCCTACCAGAACTAACACTCTCATAAGTTTCATCTTTTTTATCAGACAGATAGGACTGCTTGATCAATTCTGTCAGGGTGAGTTGATCCTTGGAGTCCTGATACTCAGGAACCTTGTCAGATACTTCAACGTTCTTAATATCTTCATCCTTACGCCTGTGATCATCATATCCACCACTTGGACCATCCCCGTGTCCTCCTCCGCCACCATATCCTCCACCACCGTGACCACCTCCATGTCCTCCACCACCACCGTAACCTCCACCTCCATGACCGCCTCCATGTCCACCTCCGCCACCGTATCCTCCACCCCCATGATCGCCGCCACCCCCATGACCACCACCTCCGTATCCGCCACCTCCACCATGACCGTGAGCTGCATCAAAACCTCCGCCACCATCACCACCGCCTCCGCCGCCGTGTTCACAAGATTTTCTTGGAACAGTTTTTGTAACAATCCTCGGTTTCTTGACAGGAACGGACTGACAGTGTTCTCTTGGAACCTCCCAACATTTCTCAAGTGGAACTGCTACAGGATTTTTTACAGGAACATTGATACAATCCTGTTGGGGAACATGAAAACATTTCTGGGATGGAACTTGATGAGGCACTTCATGACATTTCTTTTTTGGAACAGAGTTACATTTTTTCTTAGGATGGGAGGATGGGATTTGTTTTGCAACATCATGACAGCTCTGCTTAGGATGCGAAGTACACTTTGTCTCCTTATGATATCCGTAGCCAACATCATGACAAGACTTCTCATAGGTTGTTGTACACTGCTTGTCATACACTGTCTTGTAGCTTGTGGCGTAGCTTATTCTACACTCTTCATCGTACACTGTTGTACAGTACTTCCTGTATCCCGTCTTGTACTCAGTTTTACACTTGGTTGCGTATCCAGGGTTGCACTGGGTTTCCACTGCTCCTTCGAAAGACGTGTCATATACAGTTTTACATTGTCTATCACTGATTGTACTGCACTTTTTCTCAAAGAATGTATCATATACAGTTGTGTACACGGTTTCGTATCCAGTACCACATTTAGACCCGTATCCTCCCCCTCCTCCTCCTCCTCCGTATCCGTCCCCCTCAACCATACTCCAGACTAACCCCTGAAATTAGCATTTTGTTTTAACTAAAATATTTTGAATCACACTTTTTGAAGATAGGACAATTTTTATCCTATGTATATACTACATTAATATTTCCGTTGTTAGGATGAATCCAAGAACCTACATTTATTTGTTAATATAAATAGTGTACTGCTGTTTCCTGGATGAAGATAAACAAAACTTTCTTGAGTTTGTTTCATGTTTACATTTCTCCCGGAAACTATAACAGTACAATTGTGAAAATAAAGATATAGTTGTTCCTGGTGATATTGATTTGTCCAATCTGCAAAATGTACATTTTAGAAAAATTGTATTAAAAGCAATTTTATGTAATTTAAGAAAAGATTGCAAAAATATGTCTCCGATTTTTGTCACTTGTTTCCTTTTTTGTTAATTTTGATCATTTAAAGAAATTCCGAAAAAGTTCAAAAATTGACAAATTACATTTGTGAAATCACGGCATTATTTTGATTATGATACTAGGGTTATGGAGAGGATACTGATAACTAATGTGCTTTTTGAAAATTCTTGAAAAGTTATCAAATGAAATATTTATAAATTATTTCGCAGTGCTATAATGTTTTTTAGCAGGATTTATCTTTATCGAGAAACTTTGAGATACAGAGAAAATTAAAGTCCAAAAACTTTATAACACGTCGAGTGCCAAAATAGGTTATTTTTTTGAGATGTTTGTATACTTGTTTTTTCTGCAATGGTTTTTTCTAGATATGAAAAGTTTTTTTAACAAAACAAAATTAAACAATAAACATATTATTGTTAGGAAAAAAATCTAGAATTCTTTTTTGAGCAAATCCGGGAACCAATTAAACTTTATAGCACGATAGTTACTTTATATCACTGCAATTATAAAATTGTCCATAAAGTTAACATGAATAATAAAGTACGTAATAGTTTAATAAAAAAGTTTATGAATGAACCCACCCAAAGTATGTATCTGATCATGTCTGCAGTTGAGGTGCAGAACTGATCCTTACTCCTCGAAGGATGGTAATATATTGTTTCTCTAGTATCCCTAAAGGGGTGGATAAGGGTGCAGGAGTGACTGGACAGGGTCGAGGGGAAAATGACTTGCTCCGAGTAAATGGATTAACAGCATTGATCAACACTTTTCGTCATCATTCTAATGATCTAGCGAGACGAATCCTTTTTCTCATATCAATGCATTAGGAGATTTTTTCGTGAAAATCAAGGAAGCTTCTGGTTTAGGGGAGGGGGGAGAAGGGTTTGAAGCTAAAAGGGGGGGGGTTGAGAAGTGCAAAGAGTTTTATTTCCGGGGAAAGATGACAGCTTGTGGTTTCCTTGATTCCTGGATTATAATCCTGATTTCTTGTTGTTTCCGGATATATCTCTCGTTTCCTAGTATCCTGGATATATATTTCTGGTTTCCTGGTATCCAGGATATATATTTCTGGTTTCCTAGTATCCAGGATATATTTCTGGTTTCCTGGTATCCAGGATATATATTTCTGGTTTCCTAGTATCCAGGATATATATTTCTGGTTTCCTGGTATCCAGGATATATATTTCTGGTTTCCTAGTATCCAGAATATATTTCTGGTTTCCTGGTATCCAGGATATATATTTCTGGTTTCCTAGTATCCAGAATATATTTCTGGTTTACTGGTATCCAGGATATATTTCTGGATTTCTGGTTTCCTAGTATCCAGGATATATATTTCTGGTTTCCTGGTATCCAGGATATATTTCTGGTTTCCTGGTATCTAGAATATATATTTCTGGTTTCCTAGTATCCAGGATATATTTCTGGTTTCCTAGTATCCAGGATATATATTTCTGGTTTCCTAGTATCCAGGATATATTTCCGGTTTCCTAGTATCCAGGATATATTTCTGGTTTCCTGGTATCCAGGATATATATTTCTCGTTTCCTGGTATCCAGGATATATTTCTGGTTTCCTGGTATCCAGGATATATTTCTGGTTTCTTAGTATCCAGGATATATTTCCGGTTTCCTGGTATCCAGGATATATATTTCTGGTTTCCTGGTATCCAGGATATATTTATCGTTTCCTGGTATCCAGGATATATTTCTGGTTTCCTGGTGTCCAGGATATGTTTCTGGTTTCCTAGTATTAAGAATGTATTTCTGGTTTCCTTGGGTTTGAAAAGTACAATTATGCAGTTCCTACGGTTCCCATATAGTGATAACCAGAAAATTGTGGAATAGGAAGACGACATTAAAGCAATATTAAGTGCATTTGATGTTGTTACAAAGCAAATAGCTTTTTTAGTAAGTTGGTAAATCATTGATCACGTGAAATGGGTCTGTTTACACTGCACATTTCCTGTGCTGCATTCTCATTGGACAATTAAAAGTCATAACTTGAGTCTTATAGTAGTATTTCTATTCCAGAGTTTTATGATTATTACTGTAGTTTTTGTAATACAATAATACAATTACGGTTTAGACTACTAAAATTCAAAGGGTTAGATATATTTTTTAACTCTGCAGTTTTAAATGAACACAAATATCTTAGTTTTCTTAAATAAAACCCTTATTTTTATGTGAATAAACTTTACTTTGATTCTCCTGGGAATATTTTAATGATTTTATTTAAATTTAAATTATAATATTCTAACGTTTCTGGATTAAATTTATTGATCGAATTAGTGACGAATGTTATTAAAGATTAAATTTCATATCATCTCTAAACAACACGTGTAAACTTGATAAACACATTAAACAACATATGTTTACTTGATTAACACTTTAAAACAACACGTGTTTACTTTCTTAAAACATAAAACAACACGTCTTTACTTACTTAACACTTTAAAACAACACGTGTTTACTTTCTTAACACATAAAACAACACGTGTTTACTTACTTAACACTTTAAAACAACACGTGTTTACTTTCTTAAAACATAAAACAACACGTGTTTACTAACTTATAACTAACGACGGCAATAGGTAGATTCTTTTTACATAAACTTTTTTTGTAGAAGTTTGCTGTTATCAAACATGCAAATTTGTTATCCTATAGGTGAAAATATATTTGTTATCCTATAGGTGAAAATATAAACAAAATCGAATCAAAAATTATAAAACGATATTTTTTGCCTTATATTTTCTTCTAGCGTAACAAATTTACATGTTTGATAAAAGCAATTGCTTCTACAGAATAAACCTTTAAAATGTTGAAACCTTCTCATATTGTCATAAAACCTCTCAAATGTCTAAAAACATTTCAAGTTTCTGTAAAACGAATCTTATCACACTTTTTTGTCAGCATGCACGATCTAACACATTATAGTTCATCAAATGTGTCAAGTCATTCTTTAAAATATATTTTGTACTTTATATATAAATTAAACTACTAAATTAAATCACTAGAAAAACTGGAAAATCTGCGAATTGTAGAGTGGTATCTTTTACAATAATCTACCAAAAAATGGTAAAGGTGTACAGTAATATTAAAAGAATACGGTAAACGTAATTTTAAATGACCCTCCATTAAAAAAGTGGGTGGCATGTCCGATTCACAACACAATCCTTAAAGTTTTGTCTGATCAAGATGGCTTCAGGTTACCATCCTCTTCTCCTAGAAAATTTTAAATATTTTGTTGCCTGTTTCCAGGCTATAATTCGGATTGTTAATTTCTGGTTCAGAAACAACGATGTAAATAAAACAGTTTTTAAGCTAAAAACCCAACAATATCTTCCATATTATTGATCAGATA